TAAAAACTTAAGTTTATCTTTTTATTAATTCCTCTTCTAAAAATAAATTTCAAGATATTTTAGTGACATATTCCATTTATGTATTTGTTAATTCTGCAAACTGCAGACATCTTCTGCAGGGATGGGGGGGGGGTTAAGCATTTCATAAAATTTGCTATCAAAAGTCACCAAATTCAAGGACTTGAATTACTAGTACTTTAGGAAAGAAAATGATGGTTAAACCCTCTTAAGGGGCTCCGCTTTAGCAAAGAACATTACAATGAAAGATACTTTATTCATGGGCTCTTTAGGGGAACTACTAAGTTCTAGCCAAAAGGAGTAATAGAGTTGTAAAGAGAGAAAAAAATTCTGGGGAAAACTCTGAAAAGAATTCTACAGAGATTTTGCGATGACCTTGACCACTTAAATTAAGTTCAGTTGGCTCATTAGGACACTGCACACTGTTTACATGTGGGCACACTACAGGGAAATTTGATCCTGGTTGGACTATGGGGAGAAAACATACTAAAATATACTAGGTTATAGCAAACAGGTTCTGTGTCCTGCAGAGGTGAAAGATAAGGATTTACATTTTTAAACAAATTTTTTAAGAACTGAAAATTTCAAATATTGAACTACAGTTAATTCTCGTATTACATTATAACGAATTTGGCGATGAATTGAATTTCCCTCTTTTAGTATAATTTTATTTTTAATTAAAGTACATGTATATAAAAACATATTTCTAAATTTGAAAATACTTCAAGTTATTTTTTATGTACAATTTCAAAATTTTGGACAAGTACATGTGGATGTATGTAAATCTGCATGTCTGATATTGAAAAAAAATATACTGTTTGTCGTGATATATTGCCGAGAGTACGTAAAATGAATTCTTGAATAAATTCATTCTTTATGGCATCATTGGTAATTTCACACTTAATTATTTTTAAAGCATGTTTAAAGCAGAGATCATCAAAATAATATCGTTACCGGCGTATTTAATTATGACCGCTTTCGTGGTGAACCATGACTATAAATGTATGCATTAGATTTATTCTTTTTTAAATTTTACCTCGTCTGGCTTTGCATGCTTTACAACCAATTAGCCGCGCTTCACTGACCACATGCACCTGTGGCGGTATATCGAGATAATTGACACTTAAAAATGGACGTTTGTTTTGAAAACATGGTGGCGGATGGCGGTATGCGAATTTGGCGTTATAAAGAGAATTTTATATAGCAGGAAAAACGTTCTTGGGAAATCATGGCGGTATGGTCAAAATGGCGATGCAATCGAATGGCGATAATTCGAGAATTGACTGTACATGTATTACATTATTTTTTGTTATATAATTATTTTTAAAAAGTATTTCCCTTACCTTTTGGTCTTGTGTCAATGAGTTTTTGGTCCATTCCATTATGTTTAACTTCATGTTCTTTAGATATCTGTAAAATGTATGCATTAGATATTTTTTTTTAATTTTGAAGGACTCTGAACCACATTTTTGTTTTGCCACAAGCATATACCATACAATTTTCAAAAAATATCGAAATTGATTTTGTCCTCTATTTCTTATATAAAATTTGAATAGAATTAATGTGAAAAAGCAAGAGTTCAAATTTCTTGGCAAATTTCATAGAGATCAGGTGAAAATATTTTAAAAACATCTTGGAGCAAATGGAACATGCATTTACAGACCAAAAGGACAGAAAAAAAGACCATGACAAGGTCATTTCAAATAGAATTACAACTATGAAATAAATTCATTTGATAAAAGTTACATAAATTGAAAGATTGTGGCCATTTATCAAAGTCTTATTTCCATGGAAAAGCTTCTAAACAGTCAACCTTGTCTAACCCAGGTGTTGTGTGATCCAAAACCTTGCCTAATATGACATTAACTTAATCTCCCTTTCAGTGAACAGTAAATTCATTTGTTTAATGCTGTCTTACTCAGAATATTGTCTAATCTAGTCAATATGGATGGAACCAGTGGGGGCCAGGTTAGACAGGTTTTACTGTATATCTTTTCTAAGAGTAGTAATCAAGAGCAATAACTTAAAAGACACTGGTATTGGAATAAACAATCAATTACTAATGAAGCCTACAGGTAATTTGCATTCAACAAAACTTGATAAATTTTGTCTTTATATTATGTGCATGTAATGTGTACACAGGAATCTATGGATTTTTCCATGCATAGTTCTTTCATACTTTGTGAAAATCAGTTCATATATATTTGGATTTTAAACACATTGTAAATGATGTATATTTTTAATACTACCTGACGGAATAAAAATAACAGGATATTAAAACCTTCTCAAAATACTCTAAACCAGATATTAGAGATAAAAATTTTATTAACACACAGCTATGTTAAAATTTATCTGTACATGTAAAAATCATGAATAATGTTTCCTGTTTCAGATGTCGTGTATGTCTTTTTGCGCTTTTAATACTCATGACGCAAAGTTGCTTGTAAATCCAACACATATTTCTGACCCACCCACACACTTTCCTTAACTATATACCTTATGTTTTGGTTTTGCCGGGCTCAAGAATTCAAGTGAATAAAATTTTTAGACCCCCTCCTTGCTATTTATGCTAATTGTGCCATCATTTACACTCAATCGAGAGGCCTAGAATGAAATTTATTGAGAGATTTTAAAATGAGAAGATATTTTCTCATTTAACATCTTTTTCATAATGTACTTTTATAGGCCTTCATTGAGTGTAAAATGATGGTACTTGAGAAGAAAAACATAAGTTATCAAAGATTACGGAGCTCATCTGACAAATAAGTAAAATAATATCACATCATGTTTTTTTGCTAGTTAGTGTGCATTCTAAGTTCAATATCCATTTCAGTTTGGTTTAAGTAGGACTTATAGTTACTTGGAAATGAATTTGCACCAAAAGCTTTATCCTGGTCACTCATCTGAAAAATGTAGGTCAGATCCAGCATCTGAAGCAAGTCTGGTAGTGTCCATCCCTAAAATGCATCATCCTTGTAAGTTTGGTCTAGGTAGGGCTTATAGTTATTTGGGGGAATAGACTTGCTCTTAAACTTTAACAGGGAGACACTAAAAATTAACACCAATGCAGGGAGTACAGCATAAGCTCATATCAACTTTGTCGAAGTGAGCTAAAAATGTGTACAAATTAAGAGAATGCCAAACATAAATGTTGGTAAACTGTACAGTATCAAATCTTATGGATTCTGCTATTCACCTATCATGTGACATGAATGTGGTTAACATCAGTATTAAAGCTTACTGATTTTGTAGTTCATCTATGGCTGTGGTTTCTAACAAAGGACCAAATTCTTTGGTGTCAAAGTCCAACGCCGGGTGCCTCATAAGTTCAGGGGAACTGAAAAAAAGATTAATGACTATAAAATATGCACATAAAAAGAATACATAAAGTATTGTTATACCCTTATAAATAGCTTTCTATATATTTATTACTAATAAATTTAACAAAAGAAATGTTTATTACATTGGTCTAACAATTTCACTGTTGACTGGCCTGCCAGTCCAACATAAAAATTGTTAGACTGCAACGTCACCGCTAGTCACAAGTAATTTTAAAATCACCGTTCAATATCGGCGACATGGAAATAGCCGAAGTTAAAAGCCGCAAGAGTTGTTGCTACCAGCAAGGCAAGGAAAAAGGGAAGAGTATGTTTTGTGATAAATAATTTTTGTGATATAATAAAAATAAAATTGATTTTGTTCTTTCTCAGCTTGATGTTTTATATTTACTGATTAAGCCATAATTTTCCATATAAAGTAATTCATAATATAGTGTGTGTTTATTAAATCTTAATTGAGCACTGAAGGGTATAACAAAACAGTTATAGACGGGGATTGGCAACATATGATTTGTTGGACGTTGCAACATTTTCAACTCCAGGTCTGACAAATCATATGTTGCCCTCATACCCAGTCAATAACTGTATACTGTTATACTGTTATTCAATTTCATTCCTAATATTTTTTCTGTGTAATTATGAAATTTGCTTGTGAAAGTTTCATTCTCACAAATATATACTTCAGTAAAACTCGTTTAGTATGAACACGGATATTGCAAATTCACAGATAGAGCAAAGTTACTTTGGATCCCCAAGTATATATATTTAATGAATTTCTTATATGAATACATATAACGAATTACGAATGTATAGCGAAGTAATATCTTAGGTCCCAGTGACTTTGTTATAACCATTTTTACTGTAACTGAATAAAGAATATATTATGCACCAATATCAACATTTGCAATTTTTTTAAAGACGCTTTCTCATCCGTACAATAGACATGTATGTCACAAACAGGAGTCTAAAACATGCATGATCATACATATTCCCAGGGGTTACATTTACTCAAGTCTGGCTAACACTCAACATTATAGCTTTTTGGGGAACTGAAAGGAGACTCACTGTAGCTTGGTTGTGGTTTAACCCTTTTAGCTGGATTGCTTAGCACTAGACAAGCAGCAAGCCTGAGGTCCAATTTCAATTCAAACACAGAACTGACACAAGAGTCTCTCTATTTCACATTAAAATGTTCAGCCACTACATCATCCAAAGCAAGATACCCATTCTGTGTGATTTAGCTTATGCAAGGCTGGTCAATAATCAGGACTCATGTCTATTCCAAAGGCTCAATTTACTTATATCCAGAAAATCTTTATATTATGCCGAGTTTCAAGTATATAAAATATTTCATCAAGTTTGTTACCATCAGGAATGAAATCAATTCAAAACTAATAATCAGATGTCTAAAAATGTATCTCCACTTCTTTATCATTTTGGGCATTATTTTAAAACATGACAGAGCATTTCACACATTAGGTGCATGGAGACTCACTTGTAAATCCCCACCCACTGCAGAAGGGTCACGATTTCATTTCCTTCTAGCCCTTGCTGGATCATATCTTGAAACTAAAAAAAAAAAGACATTCTCTTGAAAAATTAAACACCTCTAAGACTTTTCAAAAGTTGGGAAGAAAAATGAGCTTGCATGAGTACAATGATTTCACTTCCAGTAATAAGAGGCCCTTGGGCTAGTTTGATTTATCATTTACTTGAATCACAAAGCAAATTTTTCCAAAATGACACATGTATCAAATTAAAATAACTTTCTCCAACTTTTTGAAATTTTTCCAACATTTGACAAAATGGCAATATTTGAGGGACAATGAATTGTTTACAGTATAAAACATATGTACTTACATGATTGGACAAGGCTTTATGATACATCTGAACATACTTTCTCACAATGTTATATTCTGGTGGGGAAATAGGCTGCAGCATTTGCTGTAAATAAGCAAAAAAAAAATCTTGTAAGGTGTAAACAAAAGGCATGTGAACAACATTTACTCCAACTTGATCAGATGTAAAGGACACAAAACAGACATTAGATTGTGGGAGTCCATTGCCAGTTTCATTAATTACTCCTTGTGGATGTTCTCATTAAATGAGTATCATTTAAAGGTTACTGGCAAAATATCAGAAAGAAAATGTCACCTATAATGTCTCTGAGCAATAAAACCAGTACCAGGAGTAATATACCTCAACAAAGGAGAAAAAATCATTGTGACATCACAATCACGAAAGTAGTCCCTGTGCATTTACAGTGAGGACAGATATAGCTCTGTAGAAGCCCAGGTTCTCTCTACAAGACTCTATAAATGTATTAAAAGTACAAGTACAGGTAAAGTTTGAGGCTGACTGGACTTACGGGAGGGAAATTATGCACTGAACTAAGATTTTAAACAGAGAGGTTATTTTTACCTTAATCCTTGACCTAGAAACTTTGTTCAATGTCACTGCACATCCATTGAACTGTGCCACTCTGTGAGTGAAGTATGAGCCACATTGGACCAAAGGGAGAGAAGATATGCTTCGGAAATGATTATTTTATATAATTCTGGTATGACCTTAACCTTAGATCTAGAAAAATGGTTCAAGGTCACTGGACACCATTTACCCAAAGGCACTCTGTGGGTGAAGAATAAGCCAGATTGAGCAAAGGAAAGAGAAAATATGCTCTGGACAAGAATTTAAACAGAGGCTATTTTTGACCTTGATCCTTGACCTAGAAACCTCATTCAAGGTCACTGCACATCCAATGACCAAAGAGTGGCACTCTGTGCTTAAAGTATGAGCCACATTTGAACTAGTAGAGAAAAGAGATTTTGTGGACAAGGATTTTTCGTACAATTCTGTTATGACCTTAGACCTAGAAACATGGTTCGAGGTTACTGCACACCCTTTACCCAAAGACACTCTGCATGTGAAGTATGAGTCGGATCAGGTAGAGGAGAGAAGATCTGAACAAAAAAACTCAGATGGACAGAAGGATGGAGACAGACTGATCCCTATATGGTGTCTGCATAGCCACCCGAATTATTTAACAAGGCAATTTAGCTAGAGTATCTCTAAACATGTATCTTATTGGAAATATATCTGGTCCATTTACTTCAGTACAATGAGATTTTCAAAGACAATATCTAACCACCTAGAAAATTTTCCACCTAAAGAAAATTTCAGAAAATTTGGGAAAAAACATAAAGTCAATCTGTGTGAACTTCGATAAAATGCACACTTTCCATATTAGGAAAATATAATTGCACATAAGACAAAACCTAAGCAATCAATCAATGATCATCAAATCTTCTAAATATTAAAACCAGTCTTTTTTTTTGACCTTTAGCCCTGTTCACACGGGGAATTTAATTAATTAAACGTAAATTACTCAATTAGCTTTGCTTAGCGTTACCGGGGAAAATGCGAATTAGTTTAATTCGAATTAATTTACTGCGCATTAAATTACTTCGCATTAACTCCGTGTGACGCTAAGCAAGCTAATTCGAATTAAATTTTGACGCATGCGTAAGGCCAGAATTAAGTCACAGGACACGTGTTGGGGGTTATATATAGGTTTTTGTGCTATATTTGGTTCAAAAATTAGGGAAAATATGTTAATCACTAAAATCAATGAATACTTGTAGCCACTACATGATGTATCAAACATGGCTCTGCATACATGAGTGATTTACAAATGACGTCATAAAGACTTTCTACGCCTACTGTAGAAGAAAAAATTTTTTTCGCATTAGTTTACTTCGCATTAGCTGTCGTGTGAACGCAATTTAATTCGCATTAATTTGATTCGCATTAGTTTACTTCCATTTAAAATTTACTGCGAATTAAACTCGTCGTGTGAACAGGGCATTAAAATGAAAATGTTTTCAGTCCTTTTTTTAATAGTAATACTGTCAAATTTCCCACCTTCACTACTTTAAGGTCCTCCAACATCAGTTGCCTGGTAACCTCAAGATGGCGAACCAGCCACATTTTGTTGATACTTCTGTCTTCAAACTGATTACCTTCAATTCTGTCAATGAGAAAATGTTCAACACAATAGGTTTTGGTCATAAAATAAAAAGCTATTATAAATGATTGCAATAAAATGAAAGACAATCAAAATGGTGTACATTTGAAATGAACTTAAAAAACAGACTTTTGATCCAACCAGAAAATCCCCATGCAAATGCAGATGAGCAAGATTTTATAATCAGAAAAAAAAAACTCTGAACTTTCCAGTGATTCAAAAAGCAGCTTGAACTTTCAAAACTCACATGACATCTATGCATGATGATCATGATAGTGAAGTTATGATAACCAAGTTCATATGTATACTATATGTACAGAGGTGGAAAATAGAAATTAATGCTGTAATTTGAGATTGCTGTATCAAACTATTCACCTTAAGAAATAGATTCTTCCAAAATCCTAAACATTTTTTTCTCCACTTCTTTGGACGACCTGGAGGTATAAATCCCGTCTGGGCTTTCCGCTTGAGGTAAAATTCATCAGTTCTGAAATTAGAATTTTGATTGGATATAAAATCTAATATTTACATTTCCATTTCTTTTTCTTTAATATTCCTTACAAATTAGAATTTTGTTCATTTTCTCAAGAACTACCATGGATGAGTATGGATATCGCCATTGTTACGTCATAATAACGCACTTGACATCAAAACTATAGTGCAAACTGTTCTGCTTTAAAAATGACATTGGATGGCGAAAATTTGCAGCAACTTATCAGAAAAAATAATTAAATAAAGACAGAATTAATTTTTGAGATTTTCATGATTATATGAACTACAACACTTCAAGCCGTCATATTTATCATGAAGCGCTAACGCGCTTCATGAAATATGCCGTCGTGAAGCGTCGTACTTCATAACCTCATGAATCTTCAAAAATTAAATTCATTTCTTAATTGATCTTATGCCAAAATGTCATGTAATTTTATTTAAAAAAATATATAAACCAGAAGTCTCTATACAGTTGAAAATGGGAAAAGTTGACAGGGTGGAAAGGGCAACAGTCAGTCTGAGGATGATGGACATCATGGTGATCAGAAAAGCTCACTTGAAGCTTTCAGCTCAGGTTTAAATTAGCTCAATTAGGTAAAAATGGTTTACAGACAGATGGAAGTACACAGACGGACGTATATGGACAAACTTACTATCACATAGGCTAGCTCTTATGGTCTCTGACCGGTAAGCTAATAAAAAATTTTACCGATTTTAAAAAGAGAATACAGTTTTTATAAAACACCCTGACATTACCCTGTTTTGGCTTTTGTACAAATTTTTTTGCCATGTTCACCTGAAAGTTTAAAGTGATTATAAAATTAATGCGAAGAAATATTCAAATTAAATTGCATTCACATGACAGTTTCATGAGATAACCCTGCATTCATTACCCTCTTTTGGCTTTTGTACAGTTTATGCAGTATTCACACCAAGGTTTAATTCTAGAAAATTCATGCGAAGTAAAATAATTCAAATTAAATTGCATTCACATGGTGTGAAGAATGTTTGAAATACTAAAACCAGCCTAAATCGCACTTACCCCTTTTAAACCCCAAATTCCTTTGAATTATGTAAACTAAAACAGGAAATTTCACCACTTTTGACTTTGAATATTATTTGAACTCATAAAATACTAAATATTTTAACTATAATATTGTTCTTACATTATAAACAAAGAATTCCTCAACTAGACTGCTGAACATCATTTTAAATATTCAAATATTGAAGCAAGGCGAACTTTCAAAACTTCAATTGTGAAAAAAATGCAGTTTTACTTTGAATTTATTTGTCTCAAATGTAAATATAAGTGATAAACAACAGTGTTAAAAAGTTCACTAGGAAATGAACTTAGCTGGTATGTGATCAAATCAACTGAGAAGCCCTTCAGGCTTCACAGGATTTGATCACCTGACCAACTAAGTTCATTTCCCATTGAACTTTTTAACATTGTAGTTTATTTCTTAATAAAACTAATTTGCATATTAAATTCTTCATGTGAATGCAGTTAAAATTTAATACATAGTAAAATATGTTTAAATTGAATTAAATTATCCGTGTGAACAGAGCCTTTAATTATCTTCTCATACTTGTAATAGGCCTGAACCCTACCTGACTAGGAGTTTATAAAGAGAATATTGCCTTATTATGATGGTTTTGGCCAAACCCTTTATGTCCCAAAATGACACAGACCATGAAATTCTTATACAGAATAAGTGTTCTTTGTACAAGTAGTTAACAGGAAATACTAAATCCAATCTATAATTTATATAGCACTATATTTTGGGAATATTACAGAATAAAAAATGTCATTTTTACGTGGAAGAAACAAAATTGTTAAGATTTGCACCTTGAATACAGGTATGCTAAAAATCATAAACTAGCTGTTAACAATTTTCAGGGCATATCAAGAAGAATAAAATGTCATTTTTTAAATAGGAAAATAAAATGGTTAAGAATGTTACCTAGAAAAACAGGTTTGTTAAGAATTATAAACTGTATACAAAAAAAATATAATGAGAGTGTTTTGTTAAATAATAGAAGCATTGTGCCTATAATTTTCTTTCAGCCATTTAATCTAATTACCCTTAGAATACTTCATAAAACACTTCATACCAGATTATATGTTTGATGTAAAAATTTAAAGCACGGGATGGTTATCAATTCAATAGAATATTAATTTCAATCATACAACACCGGTACCCACCTCACATGCATCATCTATATTGTCTCACATGCATTTTTACAAAAGGTGTCAAACACCAATAGTGTGAATACTATGATCACATTTCTTAACTATAACTCTATTTCATTACACTTCTATTAATACTACATTTTATTATATCCTAATGTGTATCACTCAATTTTACTGTTGATTTTACGCTCTCACGTGACATCGTATCCAGTCACCAAAAACTGAGCCTCGTTCGGATAAAATTTAAACCTTATCGTATGCAACGTCATAATGAGAAAGAAACGAATAAAGTTAAAAAACTTCCCGTATTTTTACTGCACATGGTTTTCACGTTAAGGAAAGTTTTAACATACATCAACTACAGTTCAAAGATTTTTTCTTTAAAAATCGGACAAATTTAAAAATGTCCTAAAAATTAAACAAATTTAAATGTATTCCCCTTCGTGCAGCCTTAAATTTTTTATTGTTACCATGGGTTAATGTAAACACAAGCCAGAGGAATGCCGAGTCAAACTATGTTTATTTTTTTCAAACAGCAGAAGACGTGAGGTAAATATTAACACCAGATAAAAATTAAGTTGGTAGACAAAAACCAAAGAAAAATTGACATGGTGCTTTCTTAGGGAATACAAAATATATCTTTTTATCGTAGTTTAGAGTATTTTAGCTAAAGGAGGCGTATCGGGCACAGAAAATCGCATATGTACTGAGTTGTGAACTTCATTTAATAGCATCGTGTGTATTCATTCACTCAAAATTAAATTCACAATATTATATTAGATATATTATAATGTTTCATGCCATCGAATGGATTTACGTGTAATATGTCAAATTTATATAGGAATTAACCAACCAAAACAAAAACAACATTAGGCCTATCAGTATGACTATTTGAAGGTATTCATCAACTTTCAAAACACATTTTTCTAACTACAGTATTCAAAGATATAGGAAACTAGTAAAACCGGCTCTGTAGTTTTTCCCGACATTTATCCCGAAAATGTATGTCAGATCCAGCATCTGAAGCAAGCATGGTAGTGTGCAACCTTAGATAAAATTATCATCATGCAAAGTTTGGTCAACATTAAGCTTATACATGTAGTAACGTAAAATTGAAGCTGATCCAAACATTTCAACTGTTAATCAAGCATCCATAAAATGTTGGTCAGACCAAGCATCCATAAAATGTAGGTCAAACTGAATATCTAAAAAAATGTGGGTCAAATTAAGTATTCACAAAGTGCAGGTTGACAGATCAAGGATCCATAAAATACAGGCCAGATCAAGCATCCACAAAATTTAGGTCAGATCAATTAAGCTTCCACAAAATGTAGGCCAGATCAAGCATCCATAAAATGGAGATAAGATCCAACAACCAAAGTAAGTCCCTAAATCCCTAAATGCATGATCCCGATCCATGCAAGTTTGGACCAGGCATACGTAATCATATACCTTCATTCGAAAATGTAGGTCAGATCCAGCACTGAAGAATCAACATACACGCAGTAAAGTCATGCAACCATGGAGGGCAATAAGTAAGGGTTATTAATGAGTAATTAATGAGAGTTATTAATGATTAATGAGTAATTAATGAGAGTTAATTATGAATAATTAATGAGAGATATTTAGCCTGCTTATGTCAATTTTTTAAGGTTTCATCCAAGAAAATAGTCTTGCAATTCTCAAATCTAAGTTCCAAGCTCCAAGCAAATGAACATATAACTACAAAACTTACTCCACTTATATTGAACTCGCTTATTTTGAAATTCCACTTATTTTGAAATAAAAATAGATCCCCAGTTTTTGACCCTCATATTCTTTGCATTAAAATAATGGTTATATTGAAATCGGCTATATTGAAATTTCGCTTATATTGAAGCCACTGATCGGTCCCCCAGATGATAATGAGTTGTTTTTATAATGGTTATACTGAAGTGCTCCCTCGCCACTGTCGTTACGGTTGGTGAGAGTAATTATGTCTGACTGACCGACTGATATTCAAAGGTGTGAATCAATATGTTTTTATCCTAAGTGTTTTTATACTGCATGCTCTTACGAAAAAAAATCTTTACTGTTAAATTCTTTGCGTTCACGTATATAATACGGACATATCGAGACTAAACAGCTTAACGTAATATAATAACCCCCACATATCTAGGAAAAAAACATAACTTTGAAATTAAATACGAACTGTTAATGGCTATTGATATGCCTAAATTCGAAATAACTAAGGTATTAACCCGAGTCTATTACAATGAAATACATTAGCAGCGTTCAGCAGTACTCAACCTTTTAAGTCCGTGATTTTTCTCC